ACATGACATTGGATTTTCTACAGTTCACATAGCTCCAATATTAAGCTCGATATTTCTATATCACACTACATCACATTGGATTTTCTACTGTTTACAGGGCTTCAATATTTTATTCGGACTTCTCTTTAAGTCTTGTATGATTAGTTTCATGAATTTTCCACTTCAGATGAAAGGATTTCGACTATGGATTTTTTTGGCATGTGTTCTAGTAAACCCGTCTAATTTTGCAGCCATTCTGTGAATAAAGATGAATTCCTTCTTGTTAATCCCCATTGGAAATCCAGAGCCCGCTTAAAAATGATGTCTTTAATTTGCATGCCAGTGCTCAACAGTAATCTTTTATAGATTGAGACGCCGCACAAAGAATTTCCTTATGATGGGTGCTTTATATGTTAGTACTGTTCTGAAACCGCTGCTGGATATGACAGGCAATTATATTTAGACCGGGCCTTCTAAAGTTTTTGGTTAAACCTGCTTTGATCGCGTAAAAGTTTTCATTGTTAAGTATAAAATTTGGCAGGAATAAGAAAGGCCGTACAGGAGCTTGCTCCATCAGAAACAATTCGGTGCATTTGGTTGGAACGTGTGACTTATATTTTCAAGTAGCAGTCTTTTTCTGTGAGACAAAGTGACAAAACCAACTGCCCCACCCCGGGTGCGGGGGCCCAAACAAAAAACCCCTATTCTCACTCTCAGCTGACAGTTGTTGTTTCATGGGACTTCGCTGGTTAAACTTTCACAGGGATTAAGAAGCTTTTTATTTCTATTGTTGATGTGGCACTTTTGCAATACATGCTTTCTTCTGCGTAGCTTGTTAAAAAGATTTCTCTCTCTCTCTCCGTTTTTTTTCCCCTTTTGTGTGGGTATTTCTGTCTTCAATAAAAACTTCTATTATCAAAATTGTCATCTGCAGAAGCTACACCAAAAGCAATCATGAGGACCATGAATGTCAAAGGTTTGACTCTTTATCATTTAAAGAGTCATCTTCAGGTGTGTTTCCCTGTTGTTCCTTTTTTTTTTGGGTGATAATTCCCTATTATTCTTTTGGTAATGGTATAAACTGTATAATTTCAAGTGAAAGTGAAATTTACATTCTTTTTTTTTTTAAATTTGTGTTTAAACTATTCTTTGCTGCTTTGCAGAAATACAGACTTGGCAAGCAATCAGGAAAAGATAGTGGGGAGGGATGCAAAGATGGTAGGTTTTCTTGCATCTCTCTCCAGTCTCCAATTATGCTAGAGTCATCTAATTTTTTGACATAAATTTTTAGAATCTTGCCTCTATCTGCTATAACATGATTAGAGTCTCTTTCTTGGTGCATCCGGAAGCCATCATCTGTCGGATACAAGGCTAAGTTTGCAATTAGAATTTGAGCTTATTAGTGTAGTAGTTGCTGAGTAACTGTATTTTGTAAATAGTCATGCTCAGAATAAACTTTAATTCATTTGTTGAAAAATTGTGGAAGGAATATCTGCTTCATATCTTTTAGAGAGCCCTGGTGACTCTGCTCCAAAGCTGCCAGCTTCTGATGCAAATGAGTAAGGATTTTCACGCTTTCGTGAAATCAAGCTTGCCTGAAAGTTTGAATAATTATTTACTCAGTTTCTATGTGATTTCTAGAGGTCACGAAGTCAAGGAAGCATTAAGGGCACAAATGGAAGTGCAAAGCAAACTGCACTTGCTAGTCGAGGTAAATGTCTTTAAAATTAAGAGAAGTAACAAAACTTGGAATGCAAAAATCAAAGAAGATTATTATCATTCATTTGTGACTGTGTTATCATTAGTCTCAATTGGTGGTTAGGATTTACCAGCGGTTGCTTGCTCTTCTGACTCTCGCCTAATATTCTTCCTCCCATCCAGTACATATCCATTGTACCTGTGTCAGTTTTTTTGTCAAGTGTATCTTTGCTCTTAAATCTCATAAATTTGTCCTGCTCACTACTTTAAAGCATTCTTGTGCTGTAGGCAGAGAAGCACTTGCAGATACGCCAGGATGCCGAGAGAAAATATATGGCCATGCTTGAGAGAGCCTGTAAGATGTTAGCTGATCAATTTATTGGTGCTACGGTAATAGACACGGACAACCAGAAATTTCAAGGCATGGGAAATAAAACATCAAAATCTTCTATGCTTGATCCCCTCGGCTTTTGCTCCTTACCATCAACTGAGGCGACTGGAGTGAATGTTCCGGAAGCACAGCCTAGTTTCCAGCAGCAGCGGGGTGACTGTTCCACTGAAAGCTGCTTGACATCACTTGAAAGCCTAGGAGGGTTGACTCTGGAAGGATCTCCAGGTGGAGCTAAAAAGAGGATGCTGAGCTTGGACTCAATGGTGGCGCCTCTGATCTGGAGTGAAGCCAATATGAGAACCCAAGGCATTCATCTAGCCCAAGTTAATCCTCATGGAATAACTAGGTATGGCATGTAGGGAAGGGAAGGTTGACCTATTAGTTCAAGCTACCGGGACACTCTGATGGACTGAATCCATATCCCTTGGCGTAGGGGTTGTTTAGATTTTATTGAAGTTGCGATTTTTGGTTTGTTGGATTGTTGGGACAGTGCAGATCATGCTGTGGTTAATCTGCCATGTGACACCGGCACCATCACAAAAAATCCAACGGTTGAAATCGTTTGTTTCAGGAATTTCAGACAACCCTGGTTTAGGGGATTTGTTTCCTTTCATATTGCGTAATTTAGGACCAGTTACCGAAACTCTGATCTTTGCCGTTCGAATTGATAACAGAGGCGGAACGAACTTTTCACGGTATATAAACTGAATCTATGTGGCTTCATTTGTCCAAAAGCTGGTACTTACTATTTATAATGGCGTTGGATTGCAGCATGCTGCGGCCGCTGCAAATAATCAGGGTGTGTTTAAGTGGGGTGCAGAGGTTGAAATAATCAGGGTTTTTTTAAACGGGCCTTTAGATTTGATTGAACTCATTTATTAAACAAGTTTTTCCGATATGTTAAATTCATTTCATTGAATGTTTCACTTCCCCAAGTAGTCAATGAAAAGTAAACAGTACACACGCACAAAATACAAGAGCATATTATGGTGAGCGTAAGGAAGGAAAAAATTTAATTAAGTGGACTTTATTAAATGCTTATTTACCATATTGCTCTCTGTGTGATTTTGTAATAATAAGGATTCATGAATAATTAAAGGATTAGGAGGAAGTATTTGTAGTGCTCTCCTTCTATTCAATGGTTTTTGACTCCCCTAACATTTTATGTCTCTCACTCCCACACATCTAGACATGGAGAGGAACATGTTTCCTTGGGATCAAAAGAGAGGACAGCCACAGCCTACTATAAATAGGCCCCGTTTGGTTCCAAAAAAATCTGGCAAAGGAAATGAAAAATGGGAATTTTCAAGTGGCGCGGATGTTTGGTTGAAAGAAGAGAAGGGAAAGGAAATTGTGGCTGGACAGTGATTTGCCTTTAGAGAGCTGAAAATGGGTTCCCACCAAAATGGGTGAGAACCAATTTTCAGTCGCACACTTGAAAAACCTGTTGACTCATTTACCTTTAAAAACTCAACTCTCTCTTGTCTCCTCTACCTTTCAACTCCATTTTTTTTTTCCTGTTTATCGGAATTTCAATCCAAATGAAACCCAAAGCCACAATAACCATTGAATAGCTGAAAGATTTTTTAAGAACGACACTCTGATGCATCCATCCCCTAAAGCTTCGCCTCGAAGGCCCTGAAGGATCATCCTGGTTTGACATGGAGAAAGCCAACGACCATGATATATAGTTCTCACCGACAAAGGCAAGCAGAGGAATGTGGATACAGGATTAAGGACTCGGCTCTCGACTTGCCTCTCAAACATGAAGCTCAATTGGAAACTTTACTTCCATGTGTCCCCTTATAGCAGGACTCTCCAAACTTGCAATACTTGGCTCATCCATTTGAACGCTCTAGAATTGTATGCGTCAGAGAAGGTCTTCTCTTGGTCCAGATTTGAAATTCTACTATGTGAAAAACAGAACATAACAGAGTATAGCACACATGGAATTTTGTGCGAAAGTTGCAAAATTTACTATAATTCTGTAGCATATTCGAATTGAGTTTTTTTTTCCTTAATATATTTTATTTATATTTTTTTATTTAATTTTTAATCATTTAATATGTAGAGTGATTTTTATATTTATGTTAAATATTCAAATTTATTTAAATGATAATTTATTGAATTTTTTTAATAATAATATTATCGTATAAGTTTAAAAAGTATTTTTTTTATTTCATAATATTATGTTCTTTCATTAGGGATGATATGGTAATATAACTCAATTTTCTCACTTCCTTTCATCCAACTAAATATAAAATTTTCATTAAACTCATTTTTAATTTTAGCGTCAACCAAACACTCACGGCTAGAAATTTTCCATTCTTTTCCTTTTAATGTTTTTTTTATTCATTTTCATTCCAATCAATCCTTTGAAAACGGATCCTAAATTTCTGAGATAGACAAAGATCCCACACTAATGCTCACAAGGACCATCAATAACATCTAAACCTAAAACTTGGAAACAATATCGTCATTTATTTTTTTTTAAACACTATATGGATCAATGACGTTACAAAGGTAGCCATGTTCACGTCAACAACTCTTTTTTAAACTAACAAGAACATAACGCTAAGTGTGTTTAAAAATTGGTTGGGCACAATATAATCAAATTAATAGAAAAATAGATGGAATTGCGTAGATTCCATCTCAAAAAGCCATGCATGTGGGCGTGGGTCATCCCTTTCGAATTTGAATGTCTGAAACTTGGTTGTTCATAAAATATGAAGAAAAGAAGCCAATGCAGATCACAAACTCCATTTTCTTCGTAGACAGATATTTACGCCTTGTGGCCTCAGCTCCCGGCTCACGTGGGTGGGTGTTGAGCTCAGACCCGAACCTACCTCTCTCACCCACCCAATTTGAAAATTAAACGAAAAACCTTTCCGTCCCATTTCCTTTCCGTTCTCCTCACACGGCATGCATAGTCCGTACTGCCTCTGGTCCAACCTGCCTTGTGCCTTCCTGGAACCTTCGTTTCTTTTCTCTCCCCCTCCTTTCCTTTCCTTCCCTTCCCCCTTACCTTTCCTCTTCGTAATATCAAACTTCTTCCTAATCCCCTCTCGGCAATTCATCTCGATTGCCTCCCTCTCATGGGTCCTGATTCTCCAACTTCCCTCGCTCCCGGCTTCCGATTCCACCCCACCGACGAAGAACTCGTTCGTTACTACCTCCGACGCAAGGTCTCCGGCAAATCCTTTCGCTTCGACCCTATCGCCGTTGTTGACATCTATAAATCCGAACCCTGGGACCTCCCATGTTAGCCCTCTTCTCTTCTTTCTCATTTCGAGGCTCGATTATGTATCCTTATTTTTCTAATAGCTATTCATTTCTATATGACTCCTCGTTTTTCTATACTGGCTTTTGCCCTTCCGAAGGTGATCATTTCTGAGCCTCTTTTCATTTTTTCCATTTTCCCCCTTGTGGTGGCGTTATAGGTCAGTCGAAGCTGAAAAGCAGGGACTTGGAGTGGTACTTCTTCAGTGCGCTGGACAAGAAGTATGGAAATGGGTCGAAGACGAATCGGGCCACTGAGAAAGGATACTGGAAGACTACAGGCAAGGATCGCCCAGTTCGTCACAGCTGTCGTAACGTCGGAATGAAGAAGACCCTCGTTTATCATAGTGGGCGGGCGCCGCGCGGTACCCGTACCAATTGGGTCATGCACGAGTACAGATTGGCTGATGAAGAATTGGCAAAAGCCGGAATACCACAGGTGGCTTGTTATCTGTTTCGCCTATGTTTACATAGTTCATTTCTTCTTTGATACACACACACACACACACACATATTGAACTAAATTAGGTCCTGTAGCTTTAATCCCCAACCTTAAAATTACTATAAGTTAGCTTTTCTGGAATTCTGACCATTTAGTCTGTTAATTTTAGGGAATAACTCGTGGCATCAGAAATTCTTAAAGGAATGAAACTAAATGAGTATAATAATTCCGATCCAAATTATCATCTTACCCTACATTTATGTAAGGTTCATTATATACCGATGCTAAATAGTTTTCCTTCTGGGCGGTGAAGGATGCGTTCGTACTCTGTAGGATTTTCCAGAAGAGTGGTACTGGTCCAAAGAATGGGGAGCAGTATGGTGCCCCCTTTCTAGAGGAGGAATGGGAAGATGATGATGTTGCTGTGGCTTCACTCCCCGGAGATGAGGCCGCAGCTGATGAAATAATGGTTCGTGAAAATGCTTTTGTTGAAACGGATGATCTTGACCAGGTCTGTTCTCTATTTCAAGCATGTTGTTACTGTGTGGAAAAGTCCTTTGGTTGCCTGCTGGGAGAAGTTTCCCTGCCTATCAGTTGGAAATATAATTGTAAATACATTCATTTTTTGGCGTCTGATTTATGTCTACTACTGTTTTAGTTTTTATATACCCTTCCTACCAGTAAGAGATATCTTCATGTATCCGTCTCAACATCAATATGGCATATAACGCGTAATGATTTTAATTTTTCTGAGGTTACAGGACTATGTCAGTCTCTGTAAGCTTTTGACTCTGATGTTGTATTTCCTATATCTTATCATTGCTGCCGCAGTTTAGATAACTCGTCTTAAATCTTGTATTGCCTAAATTACTAAATCTATTTCGTTTATTGTATATATATGGAAAACTATTCTGTAACTTATATTATCTTACTGTAGCTGCTAAGTAAGTAATTAGCTGGCTCATCTAACACTTTTTCTCATAAATATTAATGCATATTGAGATACATTGAGTGTGAATTATACTAACTCGACTATCTAGGGAGCAAGCCATTTGTTATATTTATATCCTTTTTATTTTTAATAGAATATCTGTCATTGCTTATGCTTCTTCAACGTGTCTCCTTCTTTAAAGTTAGCTTGCTCGCATGATAAATTTCTCTAATTTTGGAAATTGCTTTGTATTACCAGTACCTTGATACGGGTGTGGCATCTGAAGGTGCTGGCCATGCTTTAAACGTCCATCATGGGGAGTGCAGCAGTTATCCTGAGGGTTCCCAAGAATTGATTGAAGATCAAAAGCCCTTGGTAGGAACTGCTCAAACTTCTGAGGCTCGAGATGACTTTTTATTGAATAAGCCTGCGCAATATGCTTCAGTTAGCAGTCCAGTGATAGATGGCATCAAGGCTGAAGCAAGTCACGAAGGATATATCTTGAGTCACAATCGTACATTTGATGGGAGATGCTTGGATGCCACTGGGGGGTCTTTCCTGGAAACCGATGATCTGGTGAATCCTGCTGAGGCAAATCCTGCTGATACTGATGTACTAGAAGAGTATCTTGTGTACTTTAATGACGGTGATGATATTTCCCAGTATATCTCTTTCGATTCTCCTGAGTTGGCAGGGAGTGAAAACCCTGATGCTGACCAAAGATCACCTTTAACGCCACCGGTAAGGGCATTAGATTATTAGAGGCCTCTCATTTTCATGATAACATTATATTAAACCCTTATGCTTGTTTACAGAATGTGGGCAGAGAATCTAAGGATACTCTCATGGCAAGTAAAATTGATGCGGAAGCCCATTCCAGCGAAGAGGCTTCTTTGAAGCAGCATCTAGAGGCATCAAATTTGGTTTCAGGTGAGAAACTAGTTGGCCTAGAACTCCTAACGTCCAGTTATTTTTCTTGTGCATGCGTGCCTGTAAATCACAAAATAATGAGAACTTGTAAACTGATAGTTTATCCCTATTGTTTCAGTTTTATTACTTTTATATTTCTCTTTTGAACTTGTAGTAATATGGGGCAGCTATTCTGTACTTTGTTTGGCAGGAAATACACACCCATTTATGAAGCAGGCCAATCACTTGTTGGGCAGTACTGCTGCTTCCCCTGCATTTACTTCAGAGTTCCTGCCTAAAGAAATTGCGCTTCGTCTTCATTCCACGGGTGAATGTTCCAATTCAGCTGATGTAACTGCAGGTATGATCAGAATAACAGACTTCAGTGTAACAGGCAACAGGATGAACTGGATGCGGGGCAAAAATGGAGAGTTCAGTTTTGTAATCTCATCTTGCTTTTGGCCTGCTGTTAACTCTGTTGATTTAGTGCCCATTTCTGGTTTACTCTCTGGGAAGTCTGCATTTGTAGTATCACACGGCTGGATTTACTTAGTCTTCTTTTCAGTGCTGATTCTTTCACTGAGTTTCAAGATTGGAAGTTTCATGTATGCCAGTAAATGATAATCCGAAGGCTTGTCATGATACGAGGGACTGTACGCAGCCAAGCGAGCTCTGGTGCTTATGTGTGTTTTCCTGTTGGAGGACCAGGATTAGGAATGACGCAACCTGTAGATTTGTCTGCTTCAAATATAGGAAGAACAATTTGAGACACGAACGACAAAAAATCAGAATTCTTGCGAAAGATCGAATTCTTTGTATCTTCTAAAGTATTATTAGCTCTTTTCACCGGGAAAATCATTAGCTCTTGGTAAAATTAAAATTTAAAAAGTATAAAGGTAAGTACAGAAGATCTAATATTAACCTTGGAAGTACATGCAATAACTTTGTCTTATATATACTGTTACGCGGTGCTCCTATGATATCTATTTGTTCACTGTAATTCGTACAGCTTATATGCATTTTAAACTTCGCCAGACTTTATGCTGTAGATTTGATAAACTTGAACTGTATCTTTATCTTGTATATGCATTTCAAATTTGGCTCCTGCTCTTACAGACATCCTGACTTAGCTCCTTTAAATCCATCTATTTGAATGACATCTAAGGTCTCTGTTGCAATCATGCATTCTCCCAAGAGTATTTAATTTGCTAGCTGTTATGATTCAGAAAACTTGTGTTTATGAAGTCTCGAGAGAGACTGATGTTGAGCTGTGCTAGATGTAAAATACTTGTGGGCATGAATTTGAAACAAGACCAGACCAGAGCCGACAAACATGAACAAGACAATCGTTGTTACGACTTGCGAAGAGCTCCAGCCTCCGAGGCCATGGGGATAGGTTTCAGATTAAGTTTCCATAATGTCGTCAAAATGAATTACAAAAGTCATACTCATTATTCATAAACCTATACTTTAAATAGCCCATCCGCCTTTATTCTGCATCACTTTGTGTGAACCTGTTCTCAATATCTGTAACGACCTTCAGGCCCTCCTTACTATTTAGTTACATCTCTCCTGGCAGCATGGTATCACCACCAGGCAGATCGCAGACAGCAATTCCCTGTTCCCACAAAAGAAAATGTTCAGACGACGCCATACAACAAGAGGCTTCATCTATATATGTTAGTGTTTAAATGCCATTTAATTTGGCATTTCTTCTTTAATCCTCACTATATTAGATAAAATATGGGTGCTTCATTCGAACACATAAAATAGACAGATATGTAAGCATTCTTGGAAGCTTGGTTGGTCCAAAACCATGGAAGGATAGCCACTCCATCTTGAAAACCATTTAAGCATATTTGTTAACTTCAAGCAGGATATATAGGATCTACTTTTAAACTGTTCACATGTTAATAATATTTGCACTACTAGAGATGTTGATACGGTGTCTTACCTCGCCCGTTAGGTGAGCCACACATCTCTTCTCAGCCAGCAACTCAGCTTCCGTCTGCAAAATTCAAGGTTCATTACACGGATAAGGCAAAAATGTACGAAGTGACGCATGAGCCACTATATTAATAATAGTTTGCCACGTTGAATGGTTCCTTCCACAGCCAAATTTTAAATAATTAGGGCACACCTGATCATTAAAAATTTGTTATTGTAACCAAATGGTTTGAAAAGATTTAATGCATTGAAGCTATTATGTGAACTGAGCTCCAAATTTCAATCTTTGAATGTTGAATGTCATCTTAATCCTGACATTAGCCCCAGATTACTATACACTGTTGATCAAGTAGACACTTAAAACTACAAAAAGGGAAATCAATTCCAAATCAAACCACATCGGATGAGCTACCGCTCATCTTTTTTCTTAAGATAACTAGATTATAAGCCTTATGTTTCAAACTAAGTCTGAAATAAATAAAATTAGATGTATACCTTAGCTATTCGCTGCCGAAGATAGTCATCAAATATGACATCCTTGACAAGCTCATAATCACCATCTCCCTAAAGGATGACAAGAACGCATAAGAAGCAATGTAATTCAAGCATCTGTCAGGGAAAATTACACCGTAGGACCCATATGTTACAATATTTTGGTTAACAGGCCTCGGAAATCATGATTATTTTCAAAGCCAAACTTACTAGACTTCCAACCAGATTTGATCTCAGGCTTAGACAAATGACTACTAGATTTTAGAAAAATAGTTTTGAACAACTTTGTAATGAATCCAGCAAAACTGATAATAAATTCAATAAAAACCCGGAAGTGACTTTTGTCCTTGAAACTAATTAGGATTTGTGAGGTCCTCTTATCTAGACATGTTAACATCTGAGTCCTTAGATGTAATTTTCCCAAGAAGTAATGTCACACAGAGACTCACTTTTGATCGGCATGGCATACTGAAAACAATATCTTCGGCTATACCATAAGGATTTCCGTTGGTATACACCTGGTTTTGCATTTGCACATTGTGAGATTAGAGTACAAGGGATGACACATAGAGTACAAGATTACGTGCAAATCATGGTTTGCATGCACTTTCAATGTTTCAGGGGGCACTACATATAACTCCCGGGGACAGCAGCCTCCGGTATACAAACTTTAACACAACACTTTATCACAGAAAGTGAAAATATTACATGTTAGTTGAAATTAATTTCTCAGAAACTGGGAATTTGAATTGCAGGCTACAATATCATGATTCATGAGGAAGAAACTGGAGAAGAGACACTAGATTACGTGGTCGTCATGTGACTTTTTTAAACGTTAGGTCTAACTGATACATAACATATTTTGTTGACAGCTTAGAAGTTGTGTTATGTTTCAAAATTTGTATACCAAAGTTCTGATTAGGCTACATTTGAAGAGGGTTATTCTTAGTTTGCTCAAAGTGTCAGTCATATGACTTCTGGTAAGAGCACTTACGAGACATGTTCATTTTGGAGTCAAGCACATTAAAAAAATTCATCCTGGCTGAAATTTTCAAGATGGTTGTTTGTAATGTTATTTGAATTCCATAAACAACCAGGAATTATAATAATGTATGCTTCACTTCTCAGTTATCCGTGTCAATTTTCTCCAGTGTCATTTAACTAAGAGTGACTTACGCCAGATGAAAACCAATCACCCTCAGGAGTAGGAATGGTTAAAGACCGTATGGCATCAACAACTGACACAGCAGTTGATGCAGCTGATGATCTTCCCCACTTTTGAATAAGCAAGCCACCTCTCTGCCAACCAAGAGACTTACTTGTCAGCTATTGCCAATAAGACCAAAAAGTAGTGTGGATTATGCATCATTTTCACATGTAGCTAAAAAATCAAGCGCATTACAAGTTTTACCTTTTGAACATTTTCAGTGAATTCATTCTCTAACCACTTATGGTCCTTAATCACTTCTTTAACAGGCAAAGAATCGATTCTGGCATTTAAGAAGTCGGGGACCTGTGTGTTATGTAACACCGTGTCATGAAAGAACATGAAGAAGATTCTATTCATGAGCAATAAAACTCAAGGCAATATAATTTTTGGTCCTTAGATTTTATTCCCAGAAAACACAGTTCCGGAGAGATTCCAAATTTCCAGTTGTCAATACACCTGGGAATCGAAACAGGCAAACATACATAGATTCGGAAGTATGCATGGACTGAATTGGATAGGGATAAAGATAGAAGGACCAAAAAGTACATCTCCTCAAGAAAGAATTCTTCAATGACCTGAGTAGTTGAGTGGTTGCCCCATATGGTCATATTTGAAACTTTATCGTAGAAGACACCAGCTTTCAAAGCAAGCTGTGCAAATAATTGAGCAAAGACAAAAAAACTAATAAGTATTTCTTTCACTGCAATATGAATCAAGTGGAGTTCATAAACTCTGTTTACCTGACATTTAGCTCTATTCTCATCTAAGCGAGTCAGAGCATGAAAATTCTTAGCAGGAATATTAGGAGCATTTTTTAAGCATATCAATGCACTGCATGAAAACACACAAACACATATACATCAGTATTAAAAGGCCTAACATGCCCCAAGTTTGAACACAAAACACAAAGAAAAATAAACTTTCACTCACTTCGTATTGCAAGGGTTGCCTACAACTATAACTTTGACATTGCGTGAGGCCACAGCATTCAGCGCCTTTCCCTATGGTCCAAATAAAAGATTTCAGGTCAGTACTGTTGACTATCGTCCAGCTGACAGTAGTTAGACAAGGACCTATGTCTGATACCACTTTACCTGTTCCGCAAAGATCTGTCCATTTATGTCTAATAAGTCAGCTCGCTCCATTCCAGGACCTCGAGGCTTTGCACCAATTAACAAGGCCCAATCTGCTTCTTGGAACACCTCATACGGATCAATCCCAATGCTCACCTCTCTCAGCAAAGGAAACAATGAGTCCTCCAGCTCCATCGCAACTCCTATATGTTGAATTAGGAAATAAAAATTAAAACACGTTAACATTATTTAATCATCAACCAACATCAAGAACAGCTTTATTTCAGTAGGCGGCATAGGTGAATAATGTTGTCCTCACGTAGAGGAAACTACTGCAGCAAGATTGATATTGACCTGCAAATTTAAGTTTGTTTCTGGAAAGTATCAAGAATTTTATTTTATTCTGTTGTTCAATGTAACCATGAAATAAACTACTCATAATGGCAAATTGAAACGTTTCCACTTGATCAAGCAATAATTGGAAGCATTTATTCTCCATTTTAACATTTAAAATGCCATCTTTCTCTCGGCTGCATATTCAGCCAGGTCCTAGGCAGAACACCATGACATACTCGTTCAGTTTATAGTTAAAGTCTGAAAGACATGCATTAACAGAAGGTGCCAGAGCACTAAATGTGTACAGTTGCAGAGCTTCTCATAACCAAAACCGAAAGTCAATTGTCTTCTTGTAATTAAACGTGGTCTTCTTACTAACTTCACAAGGGATATCTCTCATGAACAACAGATTACGTGGTTGACTACCTTGATTTAACCCCAAATTTTGAGACCACAGATTATTAGAAGCTGGGGGAGGATTTCAGGTAAGCTTTACCTGTCCTTTTGGCAAAAGATGGTGCACTTGTTTATTCTAACTGAAAGTAAATCCAATGTTATTATATTTTTAAGAGGCTAACCTTCAAGAGCTTGGAATGATCTTTCAGATCCCAATAATTTCAGAGCGATAGGTTGGTCAGGACCAAATACCTCACCAGATGCAAGCTGACATAATAAACCAAGTCAAATACCAAAGGAAACATGATAGATTGCGTGACTGAAATTATAAAGCAGGAAGTATCTAACTAATTTGGAGGGAAAAGCTACCCAAGTATATGAAAATGAAATAATAATTTGCAATATCACCCAGGACAGGAGTACTTAACACTTCAGACTCCTCAGTATGAATTACGTGGTCTGTAACAGTCCAAATTTAATTGGCTACAAGCTTCCCAGCAAAAATACAAGAATTTAGTGCATCCAGCATATCTTCAAGATAGATAAATCAAACTCAAAGGGATGCATATCAAACCATATTTTTAATGTTATAAGGCCATGTTACCAAGCTGAAGGGAGAGAGAATTGAAATCATGAAAATAGCAATGCACTTTTGTTCCCATG